AAGTGTGAGAGAGAGATGGAGAGTAAGAGAGAGAAAGAAAGATAGATAGATAGATAGATAGATAGATAGAGAGATAGAGAGATAGAGAGAGAGAGAGAGAGAGCAGTGTCATACCCCCGTTCACCGTTCACGGGGTCTGTGGAGGGAGACCAGTCATGGAGTTCACGGCGTTCACAACACGGGAGTTCATGGAGTTCATGGAGTTCACGGAGAGCGGTATGTTTTTTTTTTTTTTTTGGGGCTGGGGGGGTATGTTTTTGTTTTTATAGGAGGGTGGGGGACATTGAAGGGTAACTCCCTATAACTTTTTCAAAAAAAAAAATTCACGAATATTTTTTTTAAAAATTAAAAACGGAAAACAAAAATCAACCAGCCAAAATAAGTATTTTCGTTTGTTATTTTATAGGTCATTTCGATTTTTATTTTTTTTTCAATATCATCACGCTGTGGGGCTTGAGGCGAATGTACCTGGAGCCTCGTCCCACTAGCATCGATCAACGCTACGGCTCCATGGTTTTCAACCACGTGCGGCGAGAGGTGACATCCGGCGATCGTTGATCCTTTTGTGTATCGTCGGCGCAGGGCGAAAAGCACCGATTTCGTTACGGTATCTGTCCGCCGGCCAGTAGAAGAGTTTCGTTTTTATTTTTTTGCCCATTTAGCTAGCCACAGTCGATTGGGACGAAGCTGCAATATTACGGAGGTCCGAAGGGGGGCGGGTTTTTGCATCGATGTTCTTTTCTTTTTTAATGTCGTAAAATAGAGAATATGCGCTTTGCCCAATAAATTACCGAGTCGAGGCCTTCTAACACGCCGTCGCAGACGGTGTCAGTGTTGTAACCTTATGTCTTGCAACCGTGGGTGTATGTGTCCGCAATAAGGTGCTGGTAAATTCGCGCGTGTTGGAATGTAGTCTCGTTTGTGGGAGTCATGCGTCTTCTTTTTTTTTCGGGTCGACGACGCATTCCGTGCGGTAGTTTCCGAATGAGGAAAGTCCCAATGTGGAAACACATGGCATATCCTAAAGCAAAGGGTAAGGTCTATGGGTTACAAATCAAGAAATTGAATAATCGTAGCCGCCGGGTATGAGAAGATACAGATTGTGGCGAGGCTTTTCGTAAGGAGGCAAGTGATCGTGCTGTACCGACACGTATGAACGGTGACGCCCTCAGCCTCTCGCCCTATCCAGCACGACATGCAAAAGTGCCGTCTTGTGCACGTCGGGATATGTTGTCTCGTGAAAGTCCGTTTCTCTCCGTCCCGCGCCTCTGCAGTTCGTCGTCTTGCACCGTTAACTTACTGAACGCGGAAGACGACGAACAACCCTCCATGGACCTGTACTCACAGCCTGCAGGCCTGTCTTCTATCGAAGACTGGAGTTACTCGGAGACCCAGAATGAGGCCCCACCTGCTGCACGTTTCGCCTCGTCATCACAGGTGGCAGGACAGCAACAGCATTCTTTCTGGGTCTCTGGCTCCCAGTCCCAATGTCCCATTGGAGACAACGTCGGAGGAGCGGAGGGAAATGTGCAGCGGCCCCACAAGAGCTCTGCCTTCCTGTTCGGGGGTGCAACATGGAGTGGGGGGCCCGTCTGTGGCCCAAACAATGCACATGTCACAGCTCCTGTGACCGATGTCCCAGTGCCCTCTGTTGTCACATGTCACAGACAGCTAGCGGTCCGACAGTTTCAAATAAGGTGCCACCACCCCCTAAACTGCCATCCCTTGTTTTTCCAGCCTTCCAACGACCGTATAACGAAACGACGACGAAAAATGTTCTCAGGGGCATAAAATAAAATGCACCCCTGACGGGCTGCGAACATTGACTTACCGTGAGGGCACGGGTGCGCAACCCGTAGTTCGTTTGGTTATGTGGTTCGGGAAGGGTAAGGTAGTGAATATGTTGTATGTATGTTTTGTCATGTTCGCTATACACAACTCGAAGAGAGAGTGTATGTGGGGTCTCGGTTGATGCCTTATTCACGATGTTCATAGGACGCTGGACCCAGTTTCCAGCAGGTGGCGCTCCCCATCAATAGACA